AGGACTAAAAAGAATTTAGGCAATATGTTTGTATGTTTGTATTTTAATATAAGTGTCGCATTCAGTTACAGTTGGATATTGAATATTTTARGAGTATATGTGATGCTAATAAAATTAATTTAAAAAATACAAGACTTTACTTAAAAGAAAAGAAAATTGTTGTCAAAACCAGCATAACTCAACAGTAATTGATATATATCTCAAACCAATAAGTTGAGAGTTCGATATTCCACCCCACATGTTGTACTCAAAAGGAGAAAAAAAAAGGAAAAAAAAAATAAAAAAAAAGAAAGAAAGAAGGCTTTGGAAGACTTGCTAATAAATACTATAGTTTAGAGATGGGCGGTACCTCTTATCGGTTTGGTGACTTGATGTCATTTTCATTATTAAAAAAGAAAAGCGAAAAAGAAAAACTAATGATAATTCTTCATATTAATACATTTTTAGAACTTTTTGAAATAAAGTTTGAAATACTATTTTGATTTGACGTTTCCTCCTCTATTTTTAGTTTTGGTTCATATTTATTTTTGTATTTTGATCACTATGTCTAGATATAATAAGGACTAATAAGTGATAACCGAGAGCTCTTTCTTGATTCTATAAATRGTGTATGATTGTTCGTAGTTGGCAGAACAATTTTTCTGGTTCATTCTATTAACGAAGGATACTCTAGCATGCTAATTAGCTATGATCCTGAACCTTGAAAGCATCAATTTCGGTCTTTGTACCAAAATGATCATTTTGGTCTTTATTTGTAAAATTTTAACACCAATTCTATACATAATGAAATTTTTAAATATAAATTTATTGTTATATTTCAAGAAGATTATTGAGTATTAGTGTAAAATGTTGCGCTGAAATTGTTATTGAAAAAAATTAAATAAAAATAAAACGAAAATTGAAACAAAATTAAAAGAAAGAAAAAAGATCAAAATAAAATTTTCAAAAATAGAAAACACAAATAAATCTAAATCGAAAATAGAGGACCAAAATAATATTTAAATCYAGTGGAAAAAGAATGTTTTGGTTTGTTCATGGGCAAATTTGTATTTCATTTTAAGGTCCAATAGAGAGCCCACTCAAACAAGTCTAAGTTGTGTCCATATAGTGAAATTTGGGCCAATTTAAGCCATCGAAATTGGGTATTGGGTTAGTCGCAAATATGAGTTCTGACAGTTACACAAATATTTAGAGACAACGTGGGAGGGCTGTTTTTTAAACTTAATTTCATCTAAAGTTTTCGAATTTTACACTTTTAGATTTATTTCGGTAGGATTTTTTTATAATACCAATTTTAATCTTATTTATTACATTTAATTTTATTATAATTATTATTATTTTTTTTTTGAAAATTTAAAAGATTTGAATCTCTAAATTGTAATCATATTCCTCCAATTATCGTGGGTTCCATGCAAAATTTCTACACTAATTGCTTGATTCACTCTTTTAAAAAAGATTTATTCCCATGATTTACCATTATTATTAATGAAAAAAATATCCAATTTCATCTCTCTTCGTGTGTAAATTTCCACCGGTTGTTAGAAGCCACCGCCGGACGCATTTCAAATTTGATTCAACAGGTTCCTCCTCATTCGAACACTTTTCCCCCCATATATCTCTACACACAAAAAGGAAAACGCACAAATTTGTTATGATACTTTGTATGCTAAGATCAAACTCACAAGATATATTCCCATAAAATCCTATATATACAACTATTGGATACTACTTGGGTATGGAATGAACATTAGGATATATTGGAATATATACAAAAAAAAAAGTACAAGAAAAGGGTTTAACAGTANAACAGTAAAAAAAAAAAATAACAAACAAGTTTTTCAACATTAGGATATATTAGGATATATTGGAATGCAAACTTTTCGATCGGGATAAACGGAGATGAATTGCTCCAGCGACGGAGAAGAAGACACGAACCGTCACTATTTTCGAATTTGGGGAATTTGGGGATATTTTTGAAGGTTTTCGAATTTGATGGATTTGGGGATATTTTTGGATGTTTTGGTATTTTTAAAGTATTATTAAGCAAATATCATGAGATTCAAAATATAACTTTCCCATTAATTAATTCTGGAATTTAAAAATCAATTAATATTAATGTGTATATATAGAATGATAGTTTTGTAATTTAAGTGATGAGTACCATCTTAAATAAGTTTATTTCATGACAAAAGTGTAAATTTCATACATTCTATCATTTTATGTAATTAAGATCTTTAAATAGTCCATCAATGTACTTCCCAAATATTTATATTTAATATTATTCCACGATATGATGTAGATTTGATGTTATAGTTTTAATAATATATCAATCAACGTTAATTATTGGTTGCCTAATATTTAAGTCAATGTAATTGTGCTAAAAAAATTTGATCATAATTTAAGTCAATGTAAAAGGTCATATTYTCAGAATTCAATGAGAAAGAAAGCAGTTACAAATTTGATAGTATTTTATAACTCATAGAGGTACTAGTTCTATTGTTTCAGGGAAAAAAAAAAAAGAGAGAAAAAAAATATTAGTTCTAGGATTTTTTCTTTTTATTACATACTTATTCCAAATATATATCAACCTCCAAACTATTTCCAAGAATAATGCTTGGAAAATTATAGGTGGTCTCTCGAACTATGCACATCTACAGAAATTATATTACTCTACCACTCTGGTATAGTGGTTGTATGTTTGTTTTATAATCTGGTATAATGGTTGTATGTCTGTTTTATAATGTATATGTCTGGGGCTCAACTTTCCATTCTATCAATTTTTCTTTTCTTTTTTTTTTATTTGATAAAATGTTATATTAAAATTATTTTCTCTTTTAAATAAATTTAAATATTATTAAAAAAATATAATTAGGTGTTTTTAATTAAGTATTTCTACTAGATACTATAATTACTACATTAATATAATTCATTTTATTTACTTTAATAATAAAATTAAATATATCTTTTATTCTA